AGCAGAGAAAGTAACAATTTAGCGGAAGTTCGAAAAAAGTGGTAAAGCTGAAACGTTAATGAATGCTTGTAGTGCAAGTTACCGGTACTTTGCATGGCTAAAAATTATTGCAGCAGAAGTTATCACCATAAACTTCTACTAGATGAAGAAAATAGTGTACTATCGTGTTAGCGAAAAAATTAGCTCCACTAGTGCGGAATAAGGTGCTATTGCCTAGCACTGGCTTCGGCACTTGTCAAAATTTCATAACCCTGCTACCTAGGTACGCCTTGTTGTTTGTTGTTTCTTATAGTTAAAAAATTCATCGATTAAATTTTATAAAGCAGATTTACAGGACGGTGTTGAACATTCAATCAGCAATTAATTCCTCTTCATTTGACATACTTCTTCCACGCAGCTGACAATACTAGCGCTGGTAACCATCCGTTATGAAATTCTAACTTCGAATATGGATTTAGTTATAAGGCTACTGTAGGGCTACTCTCTCATACTGCCTAATGATTTCTGGGTAGATGGACTCAAGATAAGCTCGCAAATATATTTCGCTTGATCGATTGAAAATGCATCCTATGATCGATGTTTGAAACAACCAACAGTGGTAAACCAATAATCTTGGAACAATCATGTTACTGCAAATAGAGAATGAATTCCTTCATAAAATTCTGTTCTGCATCCATAACCTAACAATAAGTATTTTAAAATGTTTCAATGAAACGTGAAAAACGAATATGCTGACTGAACGTGATTTATGAAACATCAGTCATAAAAACCAAATATCATAAGATATTACTGTCAAATATGGTGATAAAGAAGAATAAATTTGTAACAATAATATCGAAGTTTGCATCAGTAAAATCGACCACAAATAAACACTGCAATGATGCGATCAAGAAACGATCTGGTTACTCTGACAATGTTAGATGCTTTCACACAGCAATGAATCACTTTTCAAGAGGATGATAATTGAGAAGTTTTTCAATCAGATCAACATGCGACAGTAACATCCTTCGACAACAGTATCGTCGTAAATTCAGTGCATCCAATGCATCACCTGTAAATTGCATTGCTTTTTTCTGTGAATCGACAATGATACTTTAGAGAACGAGAAAAACGTGCGTTCTCATATACGAGATTTGCTATCAAACAATGTCATACTCTATTACATGTTTGATAAAGTAAGCATCTTTAGATACAGTATATCACAAAATTTTTTAGTTTTATCACAAGATATTGTAAAACTCCGCATTATTTTGCAAAACATTTGAAATTCAAACGAACAATATCCGATCGAACAGATGGTGAATTATTTGAAAATGACAGAAAAAATGAAATGAATTTTCAGAATGCGATGAAATAACACAAAAGACACACCTTCAGAAAATTCGGATTGCAGCAAACCCAAATAAACGTCCCATTTATTACCAATCACTTTACCACAAGTGAAACAACGAATCGGTATAATCATTTTCGGATCTGATTTGTATCGATAAAAGCACAAGAACAAACACTCGAAGAAATATGCAAACCAATATCACCTCAAAATAACAAACAGTTAATCATAAAGTTTAACAATACAAACGATACATAAAAAGGGATACCGATCGATTCGTGTAATGACTCTAACGGGCTCCGATTAAGTACGATCACGAAAAATCATTACGTTAATGCCATAATTTTACGTTAATGGACTAAGAGGAAAACCTATGAACGATTTCTGTACTCTTCACGTCTCAGTGGTGAACCATTATTTGCCGCAGATTCCCTGATGGTTTTTTACTCTTCAAAAAACCGTTCATACCGATGATTCATTCATTGTATTCCCACATGGCATATCAAAGTATTGAATACCACTCCCGTGACACCATATTATTTCTATTTCTTTTATAACGCAAAACATACATTCTTTAAGTGCACCAAACTGAACTTAAAATGATGACACAATCAAATCCACGTCTTTTAACTAGAAAACAATTTTCTTTTCCAGAACACATATGAAAATCACACATAAACCAGCAGAGATAAGAAGACAGCTTATATATGTGGCAAAGATGTTGGGTGAATTCTCATATGCTTTTCACAATGCTGAGGGATGATCACATCGGTTATTTGGATGAATCGCCATTTAAAGCAATGATGGAATTCCGCAACATCAAAATTCGCATCGATAAAAACCGTTCTATACATGGTACTCACGTACTTCAAATCAAATTCGCGACAGTAAACCTCGCCGAGGTTGCTAAAAATCAGTGAACTAGTCTTATTCTTCGAATTATCCTACCAAACATTAGTACAACAAACGAAGTAAACCCCCACATTGTATCCACTTCAAAACGGTGAGAAACTTGGAATGTTCCCTACGAAGAGAAATATAGCATGCAGCTGCGAAAAAAACAGCATTTGATGCATTCGAAACAATCATAAAAATCAAGCAAACAATGGTTTATTCGAGAAGGAATAAAAAGCAGAAAAATTTCATTACACTTCAAACTCTGAAACTGAATGTAACAAAGTATTTACAAGCTCAACTTAACGCGCCATGGAAAATGCGAAAATATGGACACAATTCATACGATTCACTATTCAACTAAATCATTTACAGCGCTGAAACGCAGTTTTGCGTAATAATTTGCCAAACCTGATGCGAAGAATTCCTAATTAATCATCAATCAACTGAAAACGCAAAGTAACAAATCAATTGAATCATACGCTATTGAATTTCAATCTTATTTGAATGAAACATATGCGAAGTAACATAACAACAGTCAGTCGTAAAATAAAGTGTAAAGATTTTTCTGACTGACTGTGAGAATTTTAAATACTTCAGCCCAATTTTCGCAATTTACCTTATAACTCATAAACAACATAACCATCAAAGATATAACGTAGAAACAATCACGATAACTTGCAAATAACAACTATTCACGGTCTCGACTGAACCAATTCCCTGAGATTCTTCTCCGATTCCGCTAAACTCTTTTCCAGATATTCTTTTTGCTTATCAATCGCAGCTATCTTATCATTCGCCTTCTTTATCTGAAAATATTCGCATCGAAAGAGATAGCGTTGAAGCGAAACGTATGCAAAAATGAACAAAGTACTAAAGCTGAGTTTCAAAAATTCAGAAAAGAAAATGGATAGGAATAGAGCCTTTATATATTCGGTAAACTCCCAAATTCATATTTTCACATTCGACACTGTGAGCATCTCCAACATTAGTGGCCATACATGTGTATAGAACGCGACAAGCTGTGATATTTGTGTTATTCTTGAAGAGGTGTTCATCCTCGCTGAATGTTCATATCTCACGAGCAAATAAATGAAACAGAGATTCAAAAGACGTAATCAGTCCAAAAAACGAACCTCGTCATCGTGTCGTTTAATTTCCGAATCTAGTGTTGTTAAAACAAACATCCGTCCAACACTTTGATATACGGCTCGACCGGGTTCCAGTTTCTTCAATTGCTCTCTAGTCAATGTGGCAATTTTTTCTCTCTGAAGTTGAATAATACAATCAGACAACGTTTATTTTCTCAACATAAATCAATGTTACATGTAATTTATTTACATTTTCAGTATAAATTTGGTGCTATCATTTTTATACACCAACCGAATATGTTGGCAGCATCAATTAATACTTGCTTTTCAAAATATACATTCGAAAGATTTCAATACGTATCCTACTTCTAAAACGGCCGTTAAGAAGACTGAAAAGAAAAATCAGTGAGAAATGAAAACATCTGATGTTCCAGAAACATTTCATTTTGTAAGTGACCTAATTTTTGATAACGAACACTTTACATCCGAAGGTGATAAAGGAACATTCATTATATTTATCAGTTATATCCCAACTGAGATCTGCAATATCAAGAGAAGTATTATCGAAAAATGCGCAAAAAATAGTTTGCATAAATAAACAGTTATTCGAATTACCTTTTTTTGTACTCGTTTCAAATTTTCACCACGCTGAATACATTGTTTCGTTTCGATCATTTTAACTTGCATCGTTTGAAATGCCTCAAATAACGATCAGTGATGAAGTTCACGAAATAATGAAATATGANAAGAATTCGAACTCACAATTTTTTCCAAGCAGTAAGAAAGTTTCAAAAACACTTAAATAAATTATGAAAACAAATGCAGCAAATAAAATCATCATTCAAACTATTACACCGATATTGTTATGATTTAAATAACAAAAGATGTAAGGGTTTGATTTACACGAACAAAACTGCGACAAGCACTTACTTTTTTCAGTTGTGCAGAGTATTCATCAGACGTAGACATCGTACGGAGAAAGAATTACGAGCAACACAAATTACGATTCTGATTTCAGTTGAAACAGAAGCGGGTGAAGTCTAACACATGCAGAACACTCGTCAGCCATTGCATGTATGAAGACATTGTGCCACAGCTCTCTTAACAATTGCTTTTTCTGCTTTTTCGAACAAAGTGAAGTATTTCAACTGAAATTCATTCAATATGAGTGAATAACCATGCTCACAGCTAATTGTGATTTTCTAGTAGATTCTCTAGTGTCAGAAATGTATATTTATTGTTGAGCAGTTTTGCTTATACCCAGAAAAACTGTTGATTTTCTGAAGGTATCGCACATAACTCGGTGATGCCCATTTCATTACACTGCCTATAGATCAGCCTGTACATTGCTTTAGGTGTATTAGAGTCGTCATATTCAACCTAACGTTGTCCTCAGGTCTGCGCACAGACATTGTGATTTTTTCACACCATCGACATTCCTAAGCCTCTAACTTCAAAAAGATATGTACTTTGCCGGGCGATTTCGCTTATATTAAGAGAAACACCTCATGTCTCACTTGCCCAGCAACGCCCTTTTCAATGCCCCATTTATCAATGTGAATATTATTTTAGCAGTATCAGGATCACCATCTTCAAACTAATGCTGAACAAGAAGACTGAAACAGTATGGGTTAGTTAGAACAATCGATGTGAAATCAAACAAAAGGGTTCTTTTACGAAGTGTTCGAGGAGGAGATTGAGATGCAATGGATAGAAAGATCAATCGAGGTGGCCATTCTAAGGGGAGTACTTTATGCATACAACGTTAAATTGGATACTTTCAGCAATAAGCCGCAACTCTTTCACTCTCATTGTCAGACCCCCAAACCTTCCAAAAGTGCTCTGGCTTTCTTCAAGTAAAGACGCTCGTCTGATATGGTTTTTCAAGCTCTAGAGGTTGTGCAGTCGTGTGTACTGGTGTCTTCGGCTGTTACATCTTATTTAAATGATGGAAGCATTGACATGGATGGAACAAAGAAAATTATTGGTAAACGTTATGTAAAACTTTGTCCGAGTCGTACCACTCGGGCATTTTTGTAAAGGGTTTAATCTTCGGTAATATTTATTAAAATAAATGAAGAAAGTCGTTCAGTTTTCGATAAACGGTGATCGTATGCACAAAA